TAACACTTTGTTTTAAGTTTTTGTGGAAGTTTTTTCAAGAGAAGAAGTATTACCCATGCGACAGGCACTAATATTGACATATATACTCGAGCTTGTGTACAGGATGGTATGGAGATGTGGCGGAACTTATTCGTGGATTTATTAGCGCACGAAAGAAATGGGTATCAGAGATTTCTTCCTGCCGATATAAAACATTATCTTAGGCGCATCACGGAAAGGTCTATAAAGAAGAGTTTGTAAGCATGTGACGCCGCGCTCTCCGTGACTGTTAATTTTAGAAACTTTGCTTTTTGGATTAACTGTAACTTTAACGTTGATATTTAATTTTTACAGTATTGTTATCTTATCGTGCGATCCGTGTGTTTTTAGTATAAATTGTTAGCTATCCCATAGCAACGCACGATCACGCTAACTATCAAATACAAAGACAGAAGCACAAATACTCTACGTGATGGACTCTAGTCTAGGGAATAAAATATAGGACCATCTCGTCTAAACTAGCAGCTCAGCATACAAGTATTAATATAATACTCCAGCAATTACGTTGGAAACTCCTCGTGGACACCCACATTTGTAGAACCAATATTGACACGATTTCCTTGCTTGCTTTTCTCCTCTTTTGCAAATAATAATGCAGATCTAAAACATATATTTGATGATAGGACAACAATAGTAAATTTGTCCATGTTCTCCCTATATTTCTCAACAAAAATAAAATCTCGAAATTTAAGACCTATGAATATTAAAGAATTATCGGCTGCTATATTTGAATTGTTGCTAGACATGTTTGCTTGAACATATTGAGGAGCTATAGGCTTATCAGAGCCCCCGAGCCTTGGTAGCTCGGGGCGTGTCTTCTTGTGCCCGTGCCTTGGCTAGCGTCGTTGGCCGGGCAGGATCCAAGGGCCGGGCCCGGGTGTGTCGTAGATCGAGAGCCTAAGGCTCGGGTGAGCCCCCGAGCCCTGAGCGGAGGCCATGGCGTAGTCAGGCTCGACCGGGTTTCTTCACCAGAGGGTGCGCGCGAGCGTACCCGATGGGTATAGCCCCCCGAGCCCCCGGGCGATTCTGGAGGGGTCAGTCGGGGGGTCTTCTTCGGTCAGGAACTATTGGACCCGAGGCTTAACATACGCATATGTTAGGATCTCGTCAATAGGTTACCTGACTAATTCCTAGCCTAGTTAGCTAAATCCAACCTGTCCGAGTTGGACCATGTTTGGTTTACATGGCCCGATAGTTGGGTATGCTACTGGGAGCATATGTAGCTTGTTTGGTTGACCGAAGGAACATGTAACATTTTTGTGGTCATCCATTCGCTAGATCGGTGCATTTCCTATTTTCACCCCCACGTTAAACCCCACGTCTCTCGTCTTCCCACCACTCACTCATGTCCATTCATTCAAACCCCCTTTTCTTTGACTTCAACTCCCTCGCCCCCTCCGCCATTGTCTTTGTTGTCGCCTTCATTGCCATGTTGGGCAAGAACCGCTCCCCCTTTGCTTTGCCTCAACCGCGTGATCATCCTTCCATACCAACCAATGCCAAGGAAAGTGAGCGCGCTATTGGGGACTGGGATAGAGGGTCCCCAGGCAAGATAGTGGTTGTTTCATTTCTTCCTCACACTACATCGAAGAACAATGGGGTGAGTATCTAGAAAAGCCTTCCCTTTTTGTTCCCGTTGTGGTTGATGTTGTGATTCAAGGTTAGTTATTGTGATCTAGCAGGACATTTCCTCATGTTGTGTGTTCATCATGGATTTAGTTAGGGTTTAACAGTTTAATGTGAGTGAGAACCCTTTAGTTGACATCGATTGTGTTAGGATGGGTGGCACAAGGATGTTCTCGTGGCCCTCCCTAAGTCTGATTGGACTAGTCTTGACAAGATTGTTGTCCCCAAGTGCCATCACAACAAGCATGCCATGGTCATGCATTGCTGGGGTGAAATCATAGTGACCAACATTTCTTTGGCTGTGTTAAGAAGGTGATTGTGTTCTATGTTCTGCTTAATGCTCAACTTCCATTGATTAGTTCTGTATTGTCATCTTATTACTCTCTCTATTTCCTGTTCCCCTTGTTTAGTTTGATGAGAACAAATGTAGGTTTGTTTAGTGGTTGTATGAGGAAGAGAGTGTAGCATGCGATGGAAGGATTGTGGACCAATCTACAGCACCACAAGAAGAGGAAGGAAGTGGCCATGGAAGGTTAGGTTCGTGCTCTCCAGCTCCACTTGAACACCCTCAACGAGAAGAAATCTCAGTAGGAGAGTATCGACAACATGACCAACATGTTAAGGAGGATCTGCCATGTCTGCCAAAAGAAGGCAAAGAGTTCTTAAGCTCATAAGAAAGCGCTACAAACCCTATTGTTCTACCTTATCTTCCTCCCCATCCTCATATACATGGGGATGATCCTAAATAAGTGAAGAATGGAACCCCTGAAGTCACCTTTTACGGGTACTGACTTCTATATTTTCATGTCATTAACTTATGTTCGGTTAATGTGAACTCTAAATCACCTTATGGTTGTTAGGCATGACGAAATTGCATCTTGTGAGGCCCGATGAATGGTGATGAACATTGTTGGTGAATACTATGAAGTATAATATGATATGGTGTTTAAGTATTATGATCTGGTTTTGTCTGCTTCAATTCTAATCTTTTATTTGATGAATTAGTTTTGGTTTTTTAATGTTTCATGCCTATTGCCCTCAAAATGATGGTTCATGCTCAAGTTCTTTCAAGTTTTCTGTTGTCTTCGTCATTTTGTATGCTAAGTTGTCAAAGAAATTGATCCAAGTCTCATGTAGGCATGAATGTCAAACACAATCATAGCTTAGGCTTAGTCTCCATTTTTCACAAGTTCATACACGAATTCATTGTTCAATGGTACAATTAGTTCTAGATCATGAACTAGGATGCTTCAGTACTAGTAACACAACATCCACTAACAACACTAGAATTTTTAGGCCCCCGTAGTTGCATTGAATGTTGGTAGTAGTTGTTGCTTTGTGGTTATCCTTCGTGTTTGCTTACACCCTTCCTTGATCTTCCTATGCACCATCTTAGGAAAGATAAGCATGCTAGGCCTCGATTGCCTCTTCCTTTGTCCTATATCCCAAGTAGAGGTTCAATGGAAACCATCCACCTACCACTTGGTAGTTAGCCAATCATCATAAACCATAGGTTTTCCTCCATGAAAGACAAAATACCACCTCATGAACTTACTACAAACATGGAGAAAATTTTGTAGAAGAGAGTATCAATAACAAGTTACTTGAAGCCATTGATCAAGTACTCGAAGGTCTTATCTTCCATTAAGGGGTGATATGTAATGCCAGGCCTACTCAGAGCACGACGCCTAAACATACAACCGAGTAACTAATACCACAAGTGTGATACTTGGGGTGATCAATTGGCGGTGATAAATAGCAGGATCCATGTCTAAAGAGGAAAATGTAGCTAAAGATCAAAACCATATGAGAAATAAAGTCCCTAGGTGTTGTAACAAATCAAAACATCACATAAACCATAGCCACAGTTGCGACAATGACAAGGTGCGCCACCCAATGGCATCATCTTAGACCCTCTACATACTGCTTATGATTGAAGAGGAAAATCATCATCGACAATGACCTAATGTTTATAAGGGTTCACTACCAAGATATTCGTCATCCACATATGCAGATCAGCAAGCAAAGTGCTTCAAAACACCACCAACATTGACAAATTGATGAACTTGACAAACCCTAGCACATCACACAAGTAAATCTATGTCCAATACTGATGAGTATCACTTCAACTAGCACCCTACCGCAACAATGTTTCAGATCTGTCCATCTCCCAAAGATGAACAAGATCGAAGAAAGGACAGGGAGGGGTGAGTGAATCCATAATAAACATCTGAAATATTCCGCTCTAGGGTTCAAGTTGGCATAGACATACCGAATCTGACGAGGTAACCCTCGAACTTCGGTCCAAATAGGAGGTGGCAACGAGGCACGATCGACGATAGCCAAATGGAGCCAAGGGATAAACCTGAGGAGGGCCAGGGGAGGTCATGTGTAGGACCGAGCTAGCCCAGGACAGGCTCGACGAGAGGAACAAATTTAAGCACTCCACGAAGCTGGGCAGAGACCAACTAACACCCTTGGCCAGACATCCAAGCACCACCAGAGTGCCCCAACAAGGCTAGCTAGGGGCATAGCCATGCAACCAATCACCATAGCTTTCTTAAGGTCGATGACACAAAGAACTCACCTACTTTATGATTCTGTCTAGCTCAACAGTATGCATCAATATGTGTGCTTAAGACAATGACTTGTTTTGACGATATATGATGCAGTCATTTTTTTTCTCGAACACGCAGGAGAGCTACGTATCATTGTATTAATAGAAGAAAAAGAAAGTCATACGTAGACCCGAACCCCACACACCCACCCACCACTACATAGACGCTGGATCACCGGTTAAGAAATGATGCAGTCTTTGGGTTGCGATGATGTTAGGCATCCGTAGTTAAAATAACAACTGCAGTTTATCATTGACTTCGTGGGGATATTTAGGGTTAGTAGAAATATCGAGGGGAAGTTCATTATGAAAGTTTATTTCAGGATTTTGTTTGAAAGAGTTTCGTCAGATGAAATGGAAATCGAGATGAACTCTTTTATAACGTTGTTGTTAGCAGCTCTGACAATTCATGGGTTTCAAATATGTCCGTAACAGTATCTGGAAATCCAGAGAAATGAGGTAATTCCAGGAACCAAAAATTTTAAGTTCGGTAACGAGACTCCAGAAAACTTGTCATACCAAATGAAAGTGTATAGGCAGGTCTATGCTCAAGCAAGAGCTTTGTTGCAAAGCCAGATGCATCCATAATAACAGCATCCAACAGCAGGCACCCTCCCCATAAAAAATGCAACCTCATGTATGTTTATGTACAGGAACGACACTTCCTATAACTTACAAATGCTAACTTAGGTTATTTGATGGAACTTGCTGCGAGAACTCACACAATGTATGTTTTCTTCAACACTTTCTTGCCCCGCTTTCTGTTTGTGCTCAAAGCATTAAGGATTTCTGCATCCTCATCGTTCCACAGAATCCTAGCAGCGTCTGGTTTTTCTATCAGTAGCTTGGCTACTAGGAACCCAGCAATAGACCACGTTTGGTACAGCCGTGCCTGTTTCCCAATGAAGCGTGCTCTCTTGGTGTCGTAGTATTCAGGCCATTTGTCTGTAGCAATATGCCTCTCAGCTACCTCTATAGCTTTGGCTGCAAGCTCTGGTCTGTTCATCTTGATGCATGCCACTGTGAGCTGCACAAAATGATAGCAACTGCTCAACAACATTCAATAAGCACATGATAGAGGAGCGACAAAAAGTGAGTGGACAGATTGCCAGTAAAGCTCAGCAAGTTTGGCTAAATGCAACAGTGTATCAAAATGACACCATGCTTTACATATGGACAAATAAAAACCAATTCAACATCAAGAGACAATAAATGTACAGTAATAGGAAAACAGTTTAGAGAATGCAAACCTGCCACAGTAATGTTGGCCAGGATCCTCCATTGTGGTACGACCAAGGCCTGTATCAAAAGAAATTGCTAAGTATGTGAAAAGGAACTGCAACATGATCCCGGGTAGAGCGTAAAAATTGAGAATTATCCAAGGCTCACGTGTTTTTAGGGTCACTCCCAGTGATTATTTTCCATTCCTGGTTCTCAAGAGCAGGATAGCATATCTTTAGTGGCATCTCTGCCACTAAATCAGACCATTTAGACTCAATAAGATCTAAAATGGCATGCGACTGATGAGTTGTTGCCAAGCTGCTTACTATTGACCATAAATTTCCCAGTGAAAAGAATCGGAAGTCCATATGAGCTGGCTGGAGGTTTCCAATAAAGTAACCCCCCTTAGGAGGTATCCACTCAACAAGCCATGGAGAAATCTGATCAGAGTATATGTTGAACTTGTTGACAGCATCATAAGAATATTCTTCTGTCTTATATCGATATATCTCATTCAATTTTTGCATGTCAAGCCAGTAGTACTCCCTGATATGAAAGGACAGTGCAATAAGTCTATTGTTCAGGGCACGAATTAAGTCAGCTGATCCGTCTTCTGGAGTCAACATCTCACGCGCACACAAGAGGGCTGAATAGAAGAGTGCCTGCACACAAAACAATGTGCATGAGCTAATAATATAGCCCATAGAGATTGGATTGAGTTTTTCATGGTTACTATCCTTGTAAACTTGTGTCTGCATTAGTAATTATTATGCCATCACTATCCTAATCACAAATGTTGTCTCTGGGATCCTTGTTTCTTCTCTGCAGTACCATCTTCACCACTACTGATGATCAACTTATCTATATATGCCAATCAATCCAGAAAGCACATTCAGCCTGTTCGGTTGGCTAGTTCGTTTCGTTGCTGGTTCGTGAAGAAGTACTGCTGGCTGGTTTGTGTGACGGAAAAATACTGTTCCGGCTGGAAATTTACGATCGTTTACGATAAGCCACAGCCAAACGAACAGGCTTTGAACCCATTTTCCAATACAAATTCATTCCCCACATAAAAAACCCAATAGTATCCATGTTTTATTGCAACAGGCTTTGAACATTAAATAGTTCGATTCAAATGTTTTCATTTAGATTACGACAATAGCAAGTGATGTTAACTTTCTGGTAGAAAATACTTCACAATCAGCCCAACAATAACATCAGCTCAGGATTAGAACAAGACTTGTACAAACTCCCAACATACAATCTGCTATTTAAATAAATTAAAAGCTCAAACTAAAAAGAAACTAATCTTTGCAACCCCTGCATAATAGGATGCTGGAATTTTTCCAGTAGATGTCTAGAAGAGTCTTGTTCTAGTCTTAATAGGAGTAAAATGCATCAGCGGTCCCTAAAACTTGAACAAGCGTGTTATGTAGGTCCCCGAACTATTAATTTGCAGTTTCATGTCCCTCAACTTACTAAGTGGTTCACCCAAGGTGCAAACCCCGTGGTAAACCGGTGACGTGGACGCTAACAAGACTCTCTATGCTGGATTGCTGATGGACATTAACAAGGCGTGAACTGGAGAGCGAGAGAGAGAGAGAGGGAGGGGAGGGAGAACATGAAAGAATATGATGTCAGGAGCTGACAAGAAGGCTGGCCATGGACTAACTGATTATGAAAGATAGTACCCCGTGTGAACCATTTAGGAAGATCAGAGATGTGAAACTCCAAATTAATGGCTAGGGAACCTAGATGGCATCCCCAGACAATTTTAAGGATGGTTTGTGTATTTCATTCTTTTATAAAGTTTCCTCGAATACAATCACAACAAAAATCAACTTGAGAAACAAGGACCCATATGAAACAGAAAATATAACTAGGCGTAGCAAAAAGAAAACCTGAATTTCAAGTGGATGCCCATGGATTCCCATTCGACGATCAATCATGCATGAACCATCAGTTACGAGTAATGTAGGGAACATGTCGAAACCATCAGCTAAACAAAGCTTCAGAATCATTTTCATTCCAGTCTGGACATCAATTCTCTCCTGTAATGACAGATCCCCTGAACATTTTCCATATGCCCTAAGCAATATGATCCACCATAGACCTGAAGCCCAATTTTTATCAGGTACCCAATTAAAGTAGGGAATGCAGAGTAACCAAAACAAAAACAACTAACCCCATTTTCAAAAGTACCTGAATCAACAGGTGCCACGCGGCCTATTGCGGCCTCCCCAAAATCAGGATCCAAGACCTCCTCAGTTGCATCCTCATCACCATCAAGCAGAATTGTCCGCACTTTGAAGCTGGCGGGCATTAAACCTTGACCTGGACTATGGCAGTCCATTGTCTTCTCCCAGCTCTATAGACCAGTTCAAGGTGTCAGACAAACTGTCACATCGAGAGGAATAATTGAGGACATGTCACTCAATTTAGTGGCAATTCAGGATTTTGTAGTTTTATGTCTCACTGGCATGAAGTTCAGCCACATGTTAGTGAGACATAAGGTCAGAAAACATGAATGCCATTTAATTGAGCATCATATCCCAAAATATCACCATCTTAGGAAGTGCATACGGTTATGGTATTTTTTTCCTTCTGAAACAATTTATATATATTTAAAAGCAACAAACTGCTTGAGCTATAGGATGCCAATTTTCAAAGACAATAAAATAACAAGTATGCATGTCACTGTACATCAACTTTTTCCAAGGCATGTGTGTAACCATATTTCCTGACAACATATTCTGTAGCTCCTAGGCGATAGTCTTAACCGCTGGTGTACTTGCTGAAATTTGGAAGCATCAAGACAAATTTGTATGCCAAAAAACAAAAATTCGACTATGCGAAGAAGGCATCCTCTGGCATTGTTTTAAGAGAGGAGAGTACCATTCATTTTAAGGAGATACTCACATGACCATGTGAGCACCTGGGTTCCAGACTTTGTGAGAGGCGTTTCTACTGGAGATTCCACCAACTGAGCTATTGCTCATTTTTCATTTATATACCAAGACAAATACATATAAAGCAACATGCCAAAGTGATAATAAGTTCACAAAGATGAAATTACCGTAGTTAGATTAAATTTTACTCCCTCTGTTCCAAATTTTAAGTTGTTTTAGCTTTGTTCTTTGTCAAACTTGTCTAACTTTGACCAAGTTTATACAAAAATATATTAATATCCGCAATATCAAATAAATGCACTATCAAAGTATATTTCATGATGTATCTAATATAAATGTAGTTTGATGTTGTAGATGTTTGTGCATTTTTTATAAACTTGTTCAAAACTAAAGAAATTTGACTTACGACAACTAAATGACTTACAATTTGGAACGGATGGAGTATAATTCTTTTGATAGTTAACTGCATACTTTTTCTTGAACATTAGTTAAATGCATATTACATAATTAGTCACTAACATTATCGTAATTCATATGATAGGCATAAGGCCCTAAACCTAAACAACATAAAAATAACATTTAAATAGCAAGATAAGAATAGTACCTGAAGCTGAAGGGTGTGTAGAATGAAATTACGCACAATTTCATATTCCCCCTTCAGTAGAAAAGCAATGCCGGATGGTATGAAGTCCCGAATAAACACCTGATCGTAGTTCACCGGATCACTGTCATTTGGATCGTTGGCAGCAATCGTCCCAACAGGACTACCACAATAGTAAACCATTGACTCCTGCAGAAGTTCCCAGGCCTCATCCTCAACCGATGAGGACTTCCGCCTCTGAGGTGGAGGCTTGGCAGCACTCCCATTTAGACCACCATTGCCACCAACAGCCTGAACAGGCACGCTGACGTCGCCAAGAACCTGGCCGGTGTTATTCATGGCATCCTTGACCCAAGTTCCGTTCCCCTCTGTGACCCTCGCAAGGTCATCGATCCGCTGGCACCACAGCCCCCTGACGGACCTCAGCCTCGGGACCCTTAGGAGGCCTTGCAGTGCCCTGGCGTTGGGCACCGAATTGGTGTTCCTGTTCCTCCTCCTAGCGACTGCCCTGAGGGACAGAATGGATGCTGGGGAGTGGGTGGTGAACGCCCCCGGCATGGTGTGGAGAGCCACCTCCGCGATCCCCATTCGCGCCTTGTTCCCCAACCCGCCGAGCGCCTGCAAGAAGCGTGACGGCTACATTAGCAGCAGTCGGATACCATTCATACCAATAAAAAAAGATCTAATCAGAGAAACCCAGCAAGATTCGAACGAATTTGAAGTAAGACGAAGCATGGCAAGTCATTAATCCAAAATTTCCAACGGAGGGCAAAACCGGAGTTTCTATGCAGGAGCACATGAACAAAAGGCAACAACTTTTTTCTCATCTCGTCCAACGAGGAAGGGATCAAACAAAGCTTGCGTAACGGCAGGAGCAGCGCGTGGAGGAAAGCAAGGAGCTCTTACCGGCCGACCACGAGGCTTTCGTTGGGCCGCGCTCGCCGCCGGTCGCCAGGGGAGGCGGAGCGCGGGCGGGGATGGAGCGTGGCCTCTCGAGAAGGGAGAAGGCCAGGCGCGGCGGAGGGCGGAAGGAGGAAAGGGGTGGGACGGAGGAGAGCAAGGGCGAGGAGCCGAGGAGATTGAAGGAGCAGGACCGGAGACGAAACGGGGAAGGCTACGGTCCTCCACCCCAACCAACCACCTCTCTCGCGCCTCTCCCCACGCCACTTTCTACTAGTACTATTTTTGTTTTCCCACTCTTTCTATTTTTCTTGTTTCCGCCAACTTGTTATCACGATTTTAGTGGTCCTATACAGTATTTAGTCGATAAAATCTGGTCAAATATTTTCAAGCTTCGACTGCCAACGAATGCCAAAGCACTTTACTGGAGGGAATATTGGACTTAAAAAAACTATGGATATGGACACTCCTCTGTAGTTCTGCTAGAATGCTATACTGCTAAGGAAAATACTACCGCATTTTTTCTTCGGCTATAAATATGATGTTGCTATATTGTAAGAAAAAACGCCTAATATAGATATATAAGGTCTAATTGGTTAGCTTTTAAAATTTGTCTTACCAATGATTTGGCAAGCTGGGTAGTGTTCGGCTGAGTGAGAAGCCGGCTTGTTCGACTTGTTTTTTCAGCTGGGGCAGTGTTTTTCTCTCATAACAAATCAGTATGAATAGTATTTTTCAGCATAAACAGTATTTTTTTTTGTACCAGCCGAACATTGCCCATGATTTTGGCTAGTATTCGGTTACCTTTTGGTTTACTACCAAACTCTCACATTGGGTTTGCCAAATCTATGATAATGTTTTTGCTCAACTTTTAACTTACTAAATTTTTGGCGTGGCAAATTTTAGATGTCAGCAAAGCAGGCACATAGTCTCGCTGATAGTATTCGCCATCCAAGATACCATTGTAATCCAATAGTATGGTACTATTACTCTAGCTTTTGCCTTGGTCATGCGTATCCTGCACTTATATTGATTGTGTTATTGTTTTTTTAGCTTACCTATATATCAGGGTAGCAATAGGGATGTCAGTGTGGCAGAATCGTCTAATCTAATGCTTTCCAGAAGTACTTGTCTTTTATTAGACACTAAGTACTCAAGTGAGGACACTAAATTACGCAGTTCCGTCGAGCACACCCCAAGGGAAAACCCGAAAACCCACATTTTTCCATCAGGATCATAAATGAGAGAATAAAGCTTACAATATTCTTAACTCATTTCTTACATCACTTTCCATGCAACATCAGAGTATAATATTTATTGATTATAATAGCGGAATATATACATGTGATCAGAGTTATAACAGAAATAAATATCTATTCATGACATAATGAAGCATTGATATATAAACTATGACAACAGATTATAAGACTTTTATTTATAAAAAAACATTTAGTGAGAGTTATAAATAAAAACTATGATCGCAGCGTAAAGAAATCCTCTCTGAGCCCACTAGGAGGGATCCACACACAAGAGTCATCTCTAGCATCCGTCTATCACCTGCAACATGGTAGAACAAACCTTAAGTACTCAATTGTACTCCGCAAGACGTACCCGTTAGGAGAAAAGAAAAGACTCCAATGATATGCAAGGCTATCTAGCTTGTGAGTTTATTGCATCTGCAGAAGCATTACTAAACGTGCGTTCTTATATTTAATTTTTATTAACAGTCATCATTAGTTCATTAACTAACCATTCTATATAAATAACTGTACTACTTTTAAGCAGGTGGTAAGAAATCAGAACTAGTTTTACATCTTTCATATTATAGTTCTTAGTACGGTGCTAAACTGTAGACAAGTCGTACCGGATCATCTGACAATTCGCGAACCAATGTATCCCAGCTGGGTACCCTAAAACACACGCCCCGCTTGTACCCCAAACACAAGCAGGACTAACCCACTACCCTCCTGTCACGGGGTCTAGGTCCCCATCCAAACTTAGACTCCAAGCCTCCGCTCCTGAGTCCCAGACTCAGTACGGTGCTTAGATCTCCACCATCCCCGCCTCCAATCAGCCGATCCGGAAAGAGCCGGAACCCATGACAAGAGAACAATGAGTCTTTCCGTGCCCATACACAAGTATGTGTTCAAGATAATAAGTATGTGACCTGACTACCAACCATTGCAACGACAGGTCCTTAACCGACACAGGCGGAACAAGTACAACCTGAGCCTCGCTCGAATGCCAAACCAAGTCCAGATCCAAAGTACCATTCCGTCCGGTCTCCAATTATCATTCATATATATTTTCCAGGTGATAATAATATAATAGCAATAATAATATCTTTCATATCTCTCGCGAGTGACCGGCAATCACTCGACTTCTATCGAAGTCCTGTAGCATAGCAATCTACATAATTCTATCATACTAGTAAAATTCATAGGGTAAATATATATATATATATATATATATATATGTAAGTGGGTTTCATTCAACTCCTTAAACTTAATGCACAAGCATAAATTAAATTGTAGAATAATATGGGTTATGCACCGGAGCTTACCTGGGTAAGATATAACCAAAAGTTAGCATCCCATCATGGCGACACGATCACCAAGGCACCATCTTTTCTGCTACTCCTGTCGTCTCCACAGTCCATCGTTGTTCCTATTATGATATACGTGGATGCAACACATAGATGTAAATAATCAACGACAGCCGAAACTCTTAGAAATTCGATTATGCCTCACAAGCTAACGAGATAGCTCTAACATGTTAGTCTACGTATCTACGTCGTCAAGTAAGGCTCATTCCCAGAAAATGTTTTTGTTCTACAAACCCCCAATTAATTTTGACATTTGATTGATTAAATATATATTTTCGTACTGTTGCTCATTTAGTTACCTTAACAAACTAATTCCTATGGAACTACAAAAATTACAGTGAGCACGTAATATTGCTAGGAATCTACTGTAAAAATTTTAGAGCCATCACTATCACCAATTTATTACAACAATTCTTACAAGTTTATTTTTTGATAATATTAAGTATCTCAAATTAATTATATAGCTTCTAAGAATATTTATAAAACTATGAGAACAAAATATATTAGAAGATAGATCATGATTTTAGGATCCTAACAAAATTGGTTTTACTATTTTTGGACGTCTATGTGATTTTATAATATTTACCAGAGAACCACTCAGAAATAAAATTAACAATCTATTTCTAATTCCTTCTAAAAAGGAAAAGGCGAAACCGGCCCAGCGCGGTCCAACCTGGGCGCGGCCCACGCGCGTGGTGCGTGGATGCGGCTTACCCGACGCGCCACACGGTGGAGACCGACGGCCCACCAGGCGTGCCCGCGGCCTGCTGCGGCCCACGTGGAGCCGAGGCCCAAGCGGCCGAAGCGCCGGCCACCTGCCTAAGTGGCCCAGCAGCCCCCCGCTCCCCACGCACTTTTGCAAAACCACCCTTGAACTTTCTCAAAACTAACCCGCAGTACAAGAACACTATCATGCAAGTCACGATTTTGCATTGGAAACCCTAGAAAAGTTACTATTTGAAAAGTTATTATTCTATTTTTCTCACCCTTCTCCTTCCTTTGGCGTAGCAGAGGAGCAGAGGAAGGACGGGCTCCGACTGATTCCCGCCAAAGGCGCGGTGCGAGCAGGGGAAGGCGGTGGCGGCAGCGGCCTGGCGTCGGTGCGGCTTCGGCCTCCATGGCTCGACGAGCACGCAAAGGACGCAGCGGGAAGCGAGTCGGAGGGGGACCGACACAGGGACAGCGGCAGCCTCGCGCGCACAGCATCCCAATGGAGCAGCGTAGCAGTGGCACACAGTGTAGGTGGGGTAGGGACTCACGGGCACACCGGCGGCGCAGAGGCAAAGAACGACAGCGGCTGCGAGCGCGAGCTCGACTCGGCCATGGCGGGCTGTGGCAGAGAGAGAGAGCATGAGGGAGCTTGGAGGCATAGGAAAGTGGTGGCCGTGGGAACCTGTAACCCCCCGGTGTTACGATCTTATTTAGCACCGCGATTTAGGCCTATGAAAAAATTTCGAAACGAGTTTCTCGGAATTTCTTTTATTTAATATACTTGATGTGATAAGTGAATCCGGTGACCCAGTTTTGTGGACTCGAATCAACGCCCAAGTTAAATTACGCGGTGCGTAGAAATATTTAGGAATGTGGAACGACGATGCCAGCGAACGGTATGTTTTGTTAGATTAAGCGTGAAAAGTAACTTTTATAAATAAAATAAAATCCATTAATAAATAGAATAATATATATGCTCATGTGTTTATTTTGAAAAGCATGCTCAGTTGAAAAGCCTTGGTTTAGTTATTGACTTGCGAGCGAACGGCTCCACAGTGATGACGGGACGTCTCCCTGCCCTGCTCCGTCGCTTGTCATTAGTAGTGCGTTCCCCCTTGTTCGAAATCAATCAACTCCGGTTTATTAGCGTCGCGCCGCATCGTCGAGTTCCGTCGTCGTGCCACTGCTCCCTCTCCATCGCGTCCTTTCTCTGACGATCACCTTAAAGGAAGTTGGCCGAGCTACTATTGCCGTGTACTGCTCTGCTTGTTTTCCTTTCCTCGCTGCTAGTTTAGTCGCTTCACCCTATGCCTCTTGGCGTGCGCTTTGCTCTCTGCTGTCTGCCGTGGCTGATGAGCAAAAACTTCAAGTCCCAACACGCCAAAGCAAGTCAGGCCGGGTCACCTCCATGTCGGCAGGGTTGCTCCTCTCTTTCTCTCCCTTTCTTTTCTTCAACCGAGAGGAGGCGTTCCAGCTCCTGTCCACCGTAGTCGCTCCTCCTTTCCCCGCTCCTCGCAAGCAAGCACGCGCGCCCCTTTCTTCCTGCGCTGGAGCCGAGGTCTAGCTCCTGCTTTTTCTCCCACGGCGCCGCTGCTGCTCCTCCAACTGTAGCCGTAGCCATCTCGCCCTGGAACTCCACCTGGCTCTCCTTCGCGAGCACCCGCACATTCCGCACCGGCGTCCCCTCTCCTTCCCACTTCGCCTCGGTCCGCCACCATGGCCAGGCGCCCGTGCCTCGCTGCCTCTCCCATGCGCGAGCTCCTCGGTCGTGCTGGTCCTTCAGCGCCCGCCTTGGCGAGCTCCCACAGCGCCCTCGGCCCCACGCGCAGCTCCGCCTCGCTGCACCGCCACGCGGTGAACCTCGCCGGGGGTTGACTCTTGGTCGCGCCCCTCCTCTTCTTCCCCGCATCGATCATCCCCGCCGTGGCCACGCCCCACACCCGCCGTCGCCTGGCCACCGCGTGTGAGCGCACGCGTGCCCTCGGTCCGCGCCGCATCTCCGCATGTCGCACCACCACAGCCCCACGCCACCTCCTCCGAACGCTGCTACTCCATGGCGACTCACCGCCAACGCCCTGCCTCCCACGAGCGCGCCTAGGCTCGGGTTGTCGCAGCGCCATCGTGGCTACGCAGCTCCTGACGCCGCCCACACTGGACCGAGCCGCAGCGCTGTTGTGGCCACGCAGCTCCCGTCGCCGCTGCCCTATTTCCTCACGTGAGCGCACGCGTACCCCCGGTCCCGCTGCTCCTCGGCCCGCTGCCGCCTAAGCCTCCATCACCGGCCGTGCCTCACGCCGTCCGTCGCCGTCCATGGCCGGTCCCCTCGCGAGCGTGCCTAGGCCGTGTGGTCGCGCCGTTCCATCTCCGTAGCACCACGACGCCGTCATGAGCCAGCCGCTCCACCACCATGGCGCAGCCGCCGGTCGCCGTGCCCCTCCCCTGTGGTGCTCTGCTTTTGTGAAGAGAAGGTGAGATGGGTGAGAATCCAAGAAGAATTGTTATACGGGGTTCTTATTGTAAAATACGAGACTCACGTAAATAGTACGTTTGTACCGTTAGTTGATTTAGAGAGAACTGAGGGGCCAAATCACATAAAGTATTGTCGCCATCGGGTTCTGGCCGCGTGGGCCACGCTCGTCCGCCTCGGCCGTCCGCCTACCACCTGGGCCGCGCGCCCACTTGGGGCTGCTGGGCCGCCTGCCGCGTTGGGCCGTTGCCTGCCTCGTTGGGCTGGCTAGTTGCCACCGTGCCTGGGCCACCCACGCCTGCGCGCGCCCGCCCACCAGGCTGCCTCGCTGCTGGACTAGGCCGAACAGGCCGCTGGGCCGATTGATTGCCGCTGGCCTTTAATTTCTAAAATAATTAGCTAATTTAGTTTGGGAATAAATTTGTAAAATCAATATACATTGGTGTAGCTGTCCAAAAATTGTGAAACCAGTTTTGTTAAGTTCCTAAAATCATGAGCTACCTGTTAGTAGATTTTGTTCATAAAGTTTAATAATATTTTTGGGAGCTATATATTTAATTTAAGATACTTAACATTATAAAAATGTAAACTTGTAGAAAGTGTTGTGATAAATTGGTAATAGTGTTGGATCTAAAATTTGTATAGTAGGCTCCTAGCAATATTAGGTACTCATTATCAGCCTGTTCGGTTGGCTGGTTCGTATCGTTGCTGGTTCGTGAAGGAGTACTGCTGGCTGGTTTGTGTGAGTAAAAAATACTATTCCGGCTAGAAATTTACGATCGTTTACGACAAGCCATAGCCAAACGAACAGGCTGTATAATTTTTGTAGCTTCAGAATAATTAGTTTGCTAAATAGATAATGATGTCCTATTGTGAATAAAGATTAAATTGATAAAATAGAATAAAGAAACAACTTTGGTTTATATAACTAAAATAATTGTTGGGAAATAATGCCTTATCCAACAACGTGTATATGTAGCCTAAGTACGGATGTCGTTAGAACTAGCTCGTTAGCTTAGTGCGGCATGATCGGGTTTCTAAGCATTCGGCTATCGTTGATTATTTACATCTATGCATTTGCATCAATGCATATCATATAGGTACGATGATGGATCAATGGATCAATTAAAGGATGATTGAGAATCTGCAGATGGTATTCTCTCTAGGAGATGATGCAATAGGCTTTCTATTCAGATGATGGTGGATAATCTGACGATGCAGATACTAACTTTTTAATATATATCTTACCCAGGCAAGCCCCGGTGCATAACCCCTACTTTTCTGCAGTTTAAATTATATTTGTGCATTAAGTTTTAAGGAGTTGAATGAAACCCACTTGCATATATATATATATATATATATATATATATATATATTTATCCTATGAGTTTTACTAGTATGACAGGATCATGTAGATTGCTATGCTACAGGACCCCGGTAGAAGTCGAGTGATTGCCTGTCACTCGCGAGAGATAGGAAATATATTATTGTATTATTATCACTTAGAATATATAAAAATGGTGGAAAGGAAAAATGGTGACCGAATAGGGATATGGTTTGGGTATTGGTGGGTGTAAGAGGTTGTGTCGCCGTGGATGTGGGGCATGGCTTGGTTACACTGCTTTTCCCTGTCTGTGTCGATTAAGGATCGGCCATTGCATAAGATTCTAGACAAGTCACAGACTTATTATCCCGAGCACATACTTGTGTATGGGCGCTTGGAAGACTTGTTGCTCTCTTGTCGTGGGTTTCAGCTCTTTCCGGACCGACTGTCAGGATTTCTTTTTAGTGGAGAAGGTCCTTGCACCGTACTGAGTCCGGGACTCAGGGGCGAGGGCTTGGAGTCCTAGTTTGGACAGGACTTAGGACCCCAGGACATGAGGGTGATGGGTTGGTCCTGCTTGTGCCTTGTGTACAAGCGGGGAGTGTGTTTTTGGGGTACCCAGATGGGGGCATTGATTCGCGAATCGCCGACGATCCGGTACGGCTTGTCTACGACCTAGCACCGTAGTAAGAACTAAAAGATGTAAGATGGAAAAAGGAACTCTGATTGCTTACCACCTGCTTGAAAGTAGCATAAGTGCTTACATAGAATGGTTAGTTAATGAACCAATGCGACTATTAATAAAAATCGAATATAAGGACGCACGCTTAGTAATGCTTCCTGTAAATGCAATAAACCCACAAGCCAGATAGCCTTGCATATCCTTGGTGTCTTTTCTTTCCTCCTGTCGGATAAGTCTTGCTGAGTATAATTGAGTACTCAGGGTTTTATTCCCGCTGTTGTAGGTGACAGGTGGATGCTAGAGCTGACCCTTGTGTGTGGATACCTCCTGGTGGGCTCAGCGAGGATTCCTTTACAGCTGCGATCGTAGTTGTTATTTATAACTCTCACCAAATGTTTTTATAAATGAAAGTTTTATAATCTATTGTCGTAGTTTATATATCAATACTTCATCATGTCATGATTAGATATTTATTTCCGCTGTAATTCTGATCACATGTTTATATTCCGCTGTTCAATTAAACTATTTATAACTCTGATAATATGATTACATTCCACTGTTATAATAATAAGTATTATACTCTGATGTTGTATTAAAAGTGATGTAAGAAATGATTAAGAATATTATAAGCTTTATTCTCTCATTTGTGATCCTAATGAAAAATGTGGATTTTCGGGTTCTCCCCTGGGGTGTGCCCGACGGGACCGTGTAATTCGGTGTTCTCCTTCGAGTGTTTAGTGTCTAATGGAAGATGAGCACTCCTGTGAGGTATTAGATTAGGTGGTTCTACCATAGAACCTCCCTGGCCATGGCGGCCATGTCGTGTTGTGGGCAATAGAGCAAGGGAGAACGTGAGGGGAGGCATAGGGGGAAATAGGCAGCAGTGGCACAGTCCTCTCCTCATTAACGCACGTGTCGGACAGGGACGAGGTACGTGAGATGAGTGGCTGAGAGTGAGCGCAGCAGTAACCGAACGGCAACAGACAAGAGCACCTCCCTACACGTGTGCGTGGATGGCATTACGGTCGATAGCCGCTACGCATGAATTTTAAAGCAAACAAAAACTGCTAACGATCACGATTGAGGTTCAACTAATTCCACGACTCTAAAGTTGATCTTATCAGCTATCTAACAGAGCAATCCGCACAACAAAAGGACCACTCGAGAG